TTCTAGTTAACCTTCAATTCTGAATTATATTCCTTCTTCTCTCAATTGTCTTATCTCATTTAACAGTGGTTCTGATTTATTAAAGGTTAAGCAATTTATCCCATATTACCTAGCTAGAAAGTGGCAAGAGCCAGGAACAAAACCTAGAAAGTATAACCCTACTTTGGGAACTTATCCCTATGCCTTATTACTCAGGAATTTCAAAAGCAAGAAGAAATACCTCATGGTTGGTGAATTAATAATGGCAATAAAGAAGCTGGGGTTGTGGCTTAGTGGTAGATCACTTGCCTAGCATGTATGAGGCACAGGGTTCAATTCACAGCACCATATATAAGTAAATAAAATAAAGGTCCATTTTCAACTAAAAAAATATTTTTAAAAAAATGGCAATAGAGCCAGGTGCAGTGGTGCATACCTGTAATCCCAGCAGCTCAGCAGGCTGAGATAGGAGGATCATGCGTTCAAAACCAGTCTCAGCAACTTAGTGAGGCCTAAGTAACTCAGTGAGACCCTGACTCAAAATAAAACATAAAAAGAGCTGGGGATGTGGTTCAGTGGTTAAGTGCCCCTGGGTTCAATCCCTGGTACAAAAAAATGACAATAGAGGAGACAGCAGTGGCCTTTGAGAGTTGGTTGGGATTGAGGGATTTGGGCAGAAATAAGGCAGTGCAGTAACATGAGTGTGCCATACAGTAGAAAATCACAACGTAGATATGGGCCAGGATACTTAGCTTGACTTGAATATTGGATTGTTCTAAGGATATATTGGAAGATGACTCCTTGAACATAGTTGGGATTATATTATGGAGACATAGACAAATTAATGTATGCTTAGTTTAATAAGTAATTGGAGGATCTTCCTTTCTTTCTTCTTCCCCTTTCCTTTCCTTCCTTCCCTCCTTCATTCCCATTTTAATTCTTTCCCTTCAATTACTTTATAGAATAAAAATTAATATCATCTAATGAAGACTACCACCTGAACCCCATTTAACTGAAATGGTTATGTGTGTGTGAGTGTGTGTGTGTATACTCAACTCTTTCTTCATGAAAATATAGACATATAAATTGTTGCATATTGTGGAAAGCAGAATTCTAAGATTCATACCCCTTTTCTGTATCCACTCCCCTTGAGTGTAGTAGAATCTGTGAATATGGTGGGTTGTTTCTCCCTTCATTACATTATGTTACATGTCAACAGTGCTGAGATAGTCACTTCCATGATTATGTTATATGATGTGAGAATTTCTATCTGGCTTAAAAGCCAATCTTCATGTTGTGAGAAGGCCATGTAGCATAGTACCTAAGAGAACCTGCTAGGAATAAAGGCTGATTCCAAGCATGTACCCAGAGAGAAAATCAGAATCCATACTCTGAACCACCTCCTCTCTCTTGGTGTTGTATGCCAGGAAACAATATTCCTCTGCCCAGTCACCATAAGATCAAATACCAGAAAAGTAGAAATAGTCCTTATATCCAAGTGCCATTGAAATTATTCATACTAGTCAATCCTGAGCTTGCATATCCTATCTTGCCCTGCCTTTCCCAAGAAAACTATGGAAAGACTCTTGCTCATGCTGTCTACTCACTTCTTCTGCCTCCTGACACACCCTGATGCTTCCCAATATGGCCCTAAGTGGCATAGCAAGCCCCTTCTTCTTGGGAACTGTGAGTAATAAACTGTATTTTCCATGACATATACCTCTTGATCTGCTGGCCTCAGCATAACTAACTAATAATAAAAGTACATTTTAACACTGAGAGTCCCTGAGCAGAGAACCCAGCTTAAACATGCTCAGACTTCTGGCTCATGGAAACAGTGACTTCATAAATTTGTGTTGTTTTTAGCTGCAAAGTTCAAGGTGATAAATTTGTGGAAAGCTGTTATGCAGCAAAAGAAAACTAAGGACACGTGTAAAAATTACATTTAAACTTACTGTATGTTTTCTAACCTGTGTTTGCCTATTTCATACAGGGGCAGGGAGAAACGGGAAATGACTGCTAATGATAATGGAGTTTTTTTTTCTGTGACAGAAATGTTCTAAAACTGTCACACAACTCTGTGAACCTACTAAGAACCACTGGATTTTAGATTTTAAATGGGTAAACTGTATGAAATGTGAATTATATGTCAATACAATTATTTGAAATAAAAAGAGAGATGTACCTGAAAGAAAAAAAAAAGGCAAAGTGAGGGACCTGTTGCATGCGGGAGTGAGAGATGGGAGGGTGGCAAATTCTGGTCCTGGTAAAATGGTAATAAGGAATTTGATGATAAGGGATCTATGTTGGTTTTGTGGTTAGAGGAAGGGAAAACTGGTTAATTAGATTTCAGGTGCTTTTGGGTATCCATGAAGGCACCTGGATAATATAGGGAATACATCCATTGTTGTGTGTTCCTTGCCCAGGTGGGTGGGTGGGGGATGAATTTCACAAGGTGGAAATAAAGTAGTTTGAATTAGTTTGCTCCTTACCCTCTGTAATGGAGAGATCTCCCTTTGGACAGTTGCACAAAGTGAGAATTTGCAATCCCAGCTGCTAAGGAAGAGAGCCCATGACATTTTTTCCCTTCATAGACCCCCATGGAGGAACTTTCTGAGGCTGCATCTGGTTATGATTCATATTTTTGACTTTGGTTCAAGCCTTGGCGTGTGACATGTAAGCTGGTCACTTGTTGCTGAAGCAGCAGATGGCCATTCTGCTTTCCCTTAAATGGCTGAGTCTGCCTTGAATCCTTAAAAGTGTAAATAATTTACTTTCTGTTCAACTGAGTCCAGTTAATATTATGTCTCAAAATACCCCTGCCTCTGCTCTTACATTTACTTATACTTTTCTTGCCAAAATCTCCTAAATATCCCTTCTGGTATTTATTTTATTGGTAGAAACACTGGCCTGACCTAGACTCTGAAGTAAATCGTAAAGGATAGGAGCATCTGTAGTCAGCCCAATGGGATTTTTAAGTACAACTGTCCCCCTCCCTTGGGGGAGTTTTATACCAGAAACAACCGTGTGAGATCCTGCTTTCCATCAAGGGTTTATTGGTTAATGAGGCCTGTGGCTGGTGTGGTTTTCCTGTGTTTAGCTTTCGGAGCTCTCAGAGACAGTTGCTTGGAATGGAGAGCCGACAGAATTATTGCCCAGCAAGCTTGCCGGCCACAACCCACAAGACTTCACCAACACTGACGAATTTTATGGCTGATTTAATGACAGAACAAGTATTTGAAGAAGCAGAGTGAAGAGCTGTTGGTATCCTGTTGTCTAAAGAGGCCTGAAAGCCTTCTTGTTAAGACATCCTTTTTCAATCTCCTTTTGTTCTAGTCTTTGTTGTCCTTCCCAGACCTTTGAGCTACTTAGTGTCTCTTAGAACATTAATTAGTATAAACCTTGGAAATTTTCAAAAATGAGAAAGTTTTCATTGTAAAACTCATATCATCTACGAGGAGGTTGTCACTATGTACCAAGCCATCCCAAAACTCACTGGCTATACTTTTCTCACTAGTCAGCAAGTTTGCTGAGCATTGACCAGCTTAATCTGGGCTCAATCATGGGCCTGTGGTAAACTGGGGGTTACATGATCTAGGCTTTGAGTAGCTCTGCTTCACATGTTCCTCATTCTCCTAGGACTAGTGGGCTGGTCTAGGCATGTTCTTTTCATGTTTAAGGCTGTGATGCAAAAGTAAACAGAAGCATAGAATGTCTCTTAAAGTGTAGGCTTATACCTGGCTTACTGTTAACTTACATATCATTCTGTTTACCATAGAAAGTTATATTATAGAACCCAGAGTCATTGAATGGAAAATATACTCCATCTCTTTTATGGAAAAATAATGAGTCAAATGGCTTGGATAGAAAAGGGGACAAAGAATTGGGGTAAAAAGTACAATGTGCCACAGGTAGGTAGGGCAGATATGACTGTTCCCATTTTACAAATGAAATATATCATACACAGGGACCTAAAGTGATCTGCTCAAAGTCACACATAAAATTTAGATAGAACTGGAATTCAAACCCAACCCTCATGATTTCTAATTCTCTCCACTTTTTTGCCACAATGACCTCCAATATGCCATAATATATACCTTATTGGCTACTTAAAGGTCTGTAGCTCTTCAGGGATCTTCAGGGATGATTCTGTGGCTTGGTTATTCCTCCTTCCTTCCCTCCTTCCTTCCTTTCTTATCCCTCTGGGATTTTGCCCATTTCCCTCATTCACAGTCATCATTACCTTCGTACTCTTCCACTGGGACCTGCTCAGGGTAGAGTATTGATGAAATCCCCTCTCACACACCAAAACACACAGACATAAATTCTGTATGTCCCTGAAACAGACATACCAATATATTCATTTGCATTTTATTTTTATTTTTTTAATCTTCATTTTTAATACAAATGGACTTGAAAACGAAAATCCAAACATCACATGATGGTTGAACTGCAAATACCTCAAAACTGAAGTACTATGGTCCTTTGAAGAATAAGAGTATTAAGTGACCAGAGATCTGTCTACATGCCTATTGCTGACTTTGAGCTTCACTTAGACTTTAGTAGGTCTGGGCTAGTTTGGGGTTAGCCCTTTCCTGACTGTCCTTATAGAGTTCCTCAGTGGTCCTGAAATAATGAATCTATCCCATTCTGCCCAGTATTATTTGGGTAGAATTTTAGAACCAAGCTGTTCAATGCTAGCCTCAAGGGTTGTGAGTTGATATCTATAATACAGCCTGTGTGATTTTCTCAGGTGTGAGTCTCCATGGCAACTCAGTGCCTATGGCTTTTAATGCACTTACACTCCTAAATCTGGTCTCTGGCATCCTACAGGTAGAAGGTACCATCTTAAATTTGCATCCTCTGGGTTTCTAGCTGACCTGCACGGACAGTGTACTTTGCTCTCATGAACCTTTTTAGAGAGAGGTTGCTATGTCTGCAGGCTCTGAAAGCCCCTCCCTTTTTCTTGTCACAGTTTTCTTTCCTGATATATTTTTTCCTGCAGCAGCTGATTGATGTGGCTGGCTGGCTCTAACCATTCAGTGAGGCTCTGTCTCATCTCTTCATTGTAAGAACTAATGTGGCTCAGCCACAGCAAAGAGGCTGAGCTTTGATATTCTCTTTTCCCATACTTCCACCGAAGACTGGAAGACAGATTACTTGCAGTGATTTCTAGAGGCAGAAGGTAAGTGAGTGGTCGCTATAATAGTAGAGCCAAGAGAAAATGTTTGGCCTTGTGCCTTCAAAAATGACAATGTAATCCAGAGGGGAAACAAATAGGGATGAGGTTGTAAAAAAAGTTGCTACTGGAAAAAAAAAATTGCTTCTACTGATAAAGAACCTCTATAAATTCAGACAGTATCTGCTTTTGGCCCCTGATTGTTTTGCTGGCTCATTGCTAGTGAGAGAGAACTCTGTAGCTTCCATGTCAGAGAAGATGAAGAAGCAAAGAAGTCTGGCTAGGTGCATTGCCATAGATATTGTGCCTCCTGCTTTGGAATGCTCCACCATTGGACTGTGGAAAAGAATTAAAGAAGCAGCTGGCAGAATGTCACCGCATGCTGTGACTCCGGACTTACTTGCCTGATGGTTGGCAACATAGTATAAATAGTAATAAGTGTTGACTCTAGACAGCTTTAGGCCTGAATCAATCAATTTCTGTGTGTGTGTGTGTGTGTGTGTGTGTGTGTGCGCGCGCGCGCACGCTGGGGATGAAACTCCAGGGCCTCTCATGTGCTCTGAATTTCTCTCTCTCTTTTTTTTTTCTTTTCATTTTCCCAGTACTGGGGATTGAACTCTGGGGATTCAACCATTGGGCCACATCCCCATCCCTATTTTGTATTTGATTTAGAGACAGGGGCTCACTGAGTTGCTTAGGGCCTTGATAAGTTGCTGAAGCTAGCTTTGAACTCGTGATCCTCCTGCCTCAACCTCCCAAACTACTGGGATTACAGGTAAGTGGCACTACACCGAGTCTGAATCTCTTTTGATATGTGCCATTTGGCAAGTTTCTTAACTCTTATATTCTCTCATTTATAAAGTGGGTGTAAAACATCCTATCTCATATGGTGTTTGTGAGAATTAAGATAAAATAGCATTTATGAAGTTCTTGGAAAAATGCCAGGCACATAGTAGGCACTAAATAAATACATATTGACCATTTGTTAGTTAATGAATATTTAGGGGACTTTTAGAAAGAATTGCTTACAAGGGTAAATTGAGACTATGATACCTAAAAATTATTCTTTTTAAAATAAATATTTTAAAGTAAACTCTTTAATATAATAATATCTCTCCTTATTGACCTAAACTTACTTAATGGATTCACTTGATACTTTTCCTTTTTGATGAAATATATCTTGACCAATGTTTGGGACACACTGGAAACTCGTGATAATTATTTTACTTTCAGTGGACCCTCATACTTCTGCTCCCACACATCAAGTTGAACACTTTCCAAGAATTAGTTGTGTTATTGCCAAATCCATTTATGCCAGTTGTACTTGCTATTATAATTAGGTAATTTAATATAAATTTATGAAATATGAATGTAAAATGGAAGCACTGTTTCCATGAAATCTAAGTTCAATCCTTTGGAAAGACCTTAAACCAGCTCTATTATTAAAAATTAAAACAAAAACTGACACTGGAAATGAGATGGGATACATGAGGGATGTAACTAAAGAACGAGTCTGTGAAATTTCAGTCAGAGCACCCAAACTCAAAGAAAAGGCCTTGGCCTGATAACCCAGATTGGGTGATTAAATGTGCTTATATGTTTTAAATCTTCCCTCCACTTTTTTTCTAGGGCAGTTCTTTCCCTCTCTATCCTCAGCAGCCATTATAATATTCTTAAACGCAGTATGTTCTCTTCAACCAACTTCTGGGCCTTTAATGAATAGTTTCATCTTCCCCAAAATGCTCTTCATCAGCTTCTCCCAGTTCCACCCCCAGCCCTTTACCTGGCTTACTCACCCTCCAGTTCACAAAGCAAATATCACTTTGTATAAAAATAACCCCTTTTATTAGGCTCTACTTGATAATCTCCTCCCTCAGACACATAATCCCTTAGCAATATATATTTCTTTGAAGTCCTTACTGACTTGTAATTACTTGAATTTTTTGTCTTCCTGTAGATGCAACTTCCATGTTTGTTGAAAAAGACAGGGAGTGGGTGAATGAATGAATGGATATGTTTTAGTCTAAACTTTGTAAATAAGGTACTGTCTATCTCCTCTAGTATGAGCTTAGTGAAGGCAGGTACTTTGTCCCATTCACTGCTGCCATAACACCAGTACCTAGCTCACAGCACAACCCAAAAATAATAGTTAAGAACAACATTGGAATCTTTGTGAAATCCACTCAAAATATGCCTTTGTAATTCTTATGCTACTTGTAGATAAAGAAGGAAGCAGTGAAGGTGAGGGAAGTTCCCTATGTTTTAGGATTTTCCCTAAATCTGGAACATCAGTTTAATTCCATGTCATTTTTTGGTCATCTGAAAGATATCATTTAACACTATTAGAAAATTGATAGTATCATTTGCCTTAAGTACTTGTACATAATTTCCCCCATATGAATGAATTACATTTTTGTGAGACAAGTCAGATATAATTGACCTACTATAAATATCAGTGGTTCTTGAACTTAAATGTGAAACAATCACCCAGAATATTTATTTGATAAAATGACTGATTAATAAACAAACCCAAATCCAATTACAGTGCTTAGATCTAGAATGTCATCTAGGAACCTGAATTTTAACAACCTCCCTTAGGACACTCTGATGCTGGTTGTCCAGAAATCATCCTTTGAGAAAGGTGAATATGGATTTTGAATGGAAAGTCAATGCAGTATAGTGACCTTCTCAAATAATTATACCATCCATCATTCATTTGTTACTGTTTGCCAGGAACTGATCTATTATACAGAGGCTTTACAGAAAGTTATTATTATCAAATTTAATCCTTTCTATCACCCTAGAAGAAAGATTTCATTTTAATCCTCTATTGTGTAGGTGAGAAAAGTGAAGGTAAGAGAGCTTAGGTAATTTGCCCAGAGTCACACAGCTAATAAGTGGCAGAGCCACTCAACATATTCTGCCTACAAAGACCTTGCTCTTTCCCTTATTCCAGGCTGCCTGCATCCCACAGTGATCTCATCATCTATGGACTTTTGGGACCTTGGCATGCTTAATGTGCAATTACCTTTGCAGTCCTAATCAGAAATATGATCTGTTGCCTTTAAAGGTGCTTTATTGCAGGGTACTAGCTGTGGGGAAACCTGTCTTCTTGCAGTTCTTTGTTCTGCACTTGTTGAAACAACAGGCCCCAGAGAAAGAGGCCCCCTTTTTAGAAGAAAAAAGTGTGTTCTTTATGCTCTCTTCACATACCACATTAATTATCAGCTAGAGAAAAAACTGATGAAACTTCTGGCTCACTTGGCTTTATTCTCCAAAGCAGGAAACAGCACAGTAGGAGTTTAATTCTGAAGTTCAAGTGCTCTCCTGCATACTAATGGCCTGGGACAAAGGTTCACTACACTGGGTCTTATGATAAGGCAGCCTTCAACAGGAGGAATGTTGTTGGAAAGTAAATCGGGATGTACAAATAAGATCATGCAGGATCCCATCAGTGTTAGGGGTAAACACTGAGTGAACTCTCTTCATGCTTTACTTTTTCTGTATAGTTGGTATTAGGTGGTCTTACAGAGGGTCTCCATTAACCTAATATGAATAAGTAAATGATTCTGTATAAGTCTTTCTACTTGCAGCAGAATTTGAGGTTGAAAGTGCTTCACTGGGTAGTAGAGGTAGCTAGATGATGGCTGTCTTTATTGCCCCACTTCTAGCTTCCAACTTCTGCTTCAGAGCAACGTCCTATCCGAAAATAATCTGAACATTTAAGTACTACACCTAGAAATAAAAGCCAGGAAGGGATCTCCAGAGGTCATTAGATTTCTGCCAGACAGACTCTAAGATAAAGATAGCAAATAGTATTTGCCTGCCCACTCCATGCATGAGAGTGACTCAATAGAACAATATAGTGAAAAGAATTATGAGGCCACAAATGGGCACCGTAAGAATGAATGCCAGAATTGATTAGTGATGCCTGCCATAAATCTAAGGGCTGGCTATTTTTTTACCATCCTTGCTCCAAGCCAGTAGTTTCCAAATCTGATGGCACATAGAATTACAGGGAACTTATAAAAAATGTTGATACCTAGTGTCCACCCCAAACCAGTTAAATAAGAGCCCTTGGAAGTGAGATTCAGGCATTGGAGCAACCAGTGGTGAGAGCCACAGGTGTGCACAATAGTAGACATACAGAAGATGATTTTAAAATATTTTATTTTTTTAGTTATAGTTGGAAACAATATCTTTATTTTGTTTATTTATTTTTATGTGGTGCTGAGGATCAAACCCAGGGCCTTGCATGTGCTAGGTGAGCACTCTACCACTGAGCCACAACCCCAGCCCAACATACAGAAGATTTAATTAAGTAATTCCCATATGCATTTCCTCCAACCAGGACCTCCCATGCTGACTGCACAAGAATCATCCAAGGAGCTTATAAAATTAGGGACTCCTGGGACCAATTCATAAATATTTTAATTTGGAAGTATGGGGATAAGACCCAGGAATCTGTAATTCTGGAAACCAAATTGGAAGATGCTAATGGGAACCACTGTCTTAAGCTATTTATAATACCTCAGATGAATGAAAATTTTGAGCTGAACCTTGTGCTCTAAGGCAGTAGTTTTCAAACCTGAGTGCATCTTGGAAAATCTCTTGGGAAACTTTTTTAAAAACATCAGTGCCTAGGTTCAATGATGGACCAATTAAATCAGAATCTCTAGAGGGGAATCCAGATGATTCTAATGTGCAGCTAAAACTGAGAGTCACTGCTCTATGAAGTGGGACACAGGAATCTAATTTGAGAACCTCATCAGGAGGGTGTCAATTCTCTTTTTTCTATGGATTTAGTTTAGCCACTTTGACTTTGTATTATTAGGTGGTAAACTGCTTCAGTTTCCTGAGCCTTATTTATCACCAGAATCTATCATTTATTATGGCTGAGGTGGTTTTTAAATGATTTTATTCATGCATTCTGGAATACTAAGAATGGGGTTCATTTTTACATAATCACGCAATGTGTTGTGTTGGTTTTATGGATCTTCCTGCAG